AACTGGATCCTCGCTGCACACACGCACACACACACACACACGCACACGGACTATAGACATGGGTATGTGTGTATACATATACGCCGACATGCATATGTACATATATATATATATATATATATGTATATTATATATATACACAGACATGTACATACATACTTACGTACATACATACCTACGTACGTACGTTACGTACATACATACACAATGTATGCGCATGATATGCTCAATATGTGCGATATGTATGATATTGTATGATGATAGAGTGCATGCCGCATGCATACATGCATGCATGAGCAGGCACAACTCAGAAAGAGGTGCTGCTCCGTCTTCACATCAGGTGCCACTCTCGCACTCTCACTCGAATAGAACGGGAGGGCATGTCAAAGCCTCGGGTTGGCCGGGGAAGTCTGGGATGCAGCAGTCAGGAGCTCTGTCCAAAGGCAAGGGCGGAGGCTCACATGGGGCTTGCTCGCGGCCTTGTAGTAGTGTCGCCACAGGCCTCGGAGCTTCTCCTGGCCTTGGCCATTCTAGAGGAGCACGCACCACACAGCTTATAGTTTTGGGGTTGAAAGTTCCGGATTCGAAAAGAGATCTGATGCTTGACTAGGAAGCCTCTCTCACGCTAGCTCTGCACGCGAAGTCTAGGTCGAACTCACGGCTCCAAGAAATGTTGTAAAGACACGCGGTTCAAAGTCGAATGCCAAAAGAGACAAAATCATATCTCTCTGTATGACAACATGTAGCCAGGTGCCGCACCTCTGCTAAGGCTGCTCTGCACACTTTGCCCTCTTTCCGGAAGCTGGATCCCCAACAAACGACACGTCTCCAGTCGAAGAAGCCTGAAGCCCCCGAAACCTGCCTTTCCGAAGCATGGCTGAGCCCGACGCCACCCACATCCCATACGCAGAAGTTGATGTTACCATAGTGCACCTTGCAGCTTCGAGTGCGGAGGTGGTGTGGAGTCACAGTGATTGGTCGGCGTTATCCTTTTTCTAGAGCTTCACATGCACTTCTCCGGCCTGTCCTGCTGATGCCCCACGCTTTGGAGCTGAGGAGGTGCTGGCTCGGGGCTCATGGTTTATCAAGGGAGACAAGAAGACAGTGGCAAGTGATTTTCAAGCTTCCGAAACTCTGCAACACCATGCATCATGCGAACAAGCGAAAATCCTCACTCCAGCGTTCTCATCACGAACATAGAATCTCAACTTGTTCACCTCTGCAGTGACCCTGCTTGGCCCTTACGACCGCTCTCCGAGTCATGTTCACACGACGTTTGGTAATGCCAGTGGCTGGTCCGGCTTTGTTGGAGGTTTGTATGAAAAACCGAAGCTTGGAGTCTGCCTAAGATGCTGTCATGAAGCATTCTCCACATTGAAGCCAATAGTCGGGACTGTCCTGACAGATCCAACGCTGTCTAATCTGTGGCCTGTACGTGCTTATACCCGAGACAACGAGAAACTGGCACAAACGTGCAGTCAGTGCACAAGGGACACACATGTGCTATCAAAATGCTTCAAGCGAGCCCTGCATAGGCCCTCGAGCTTTGGGGAAAGCACGCCGGCTCGTTTCAGCTCCAGTCTGAGGTCCTCAAACCTGAAGTCAACAAAGCCCCGAAACCCGCCCGAAACCTAAGCCACATTGCAGCAATTTCTCAAGTTACGTCCTTTGACTCCTCCATACAGTAGGCGGGGCCGCACGAACAGCCGGGCTACAGCTGAACACAAGGCAGACTCATACTCTGTCAAACACTGTAAAGCACATGACCATGAGGTTTTCTAAATGGAACATTGATGTGCGCTATGCAAGTGACATAGGCTGGGATACGTAGCCCACATGCCACTCCATGTCGCAGACGGTATGTCAAGACAAGATAACAAACACGAAGAGTAGTATGACGAGACGGTACAGTGACCAGGCCGCTCTGTGCAACGCCATCCAAAACCGAATAACGGCCAAGGCTCGACACTATCTCCCCGATCTTTAACTTGTAGAGGATCGTGGTCTTGCCGGCCTCTCCACATCTTACTGCGGGATGTTCTGGCGGAACGCTCGTAAGGCTCTACAGTGGGAGCGGGCGGCTTCAGGTTTTCAATCTACGGGCCCTGGACATGGAGCTGCCACATGAACCAACAAAAACCAACCTCAAACAGTAAACTCGAAGCTTAAAACCTCAGACCTTCACCTGCAAAATGACTCAAAAAAGAACAAGAAGAGACAAAAAGCGGAACCTTCAGCTTGCTCGTAGTTTGGATCCGTGGTCTTTGGGAAGAGGACATTTCAGAGTTCCTCTTATCATATGGGGCCTGTCCTTCTCGAATGCAATGACGAACGGATTGATGCCCCACAGCAATAGTCTGCGAATTGTAGCAGTAAAGCTTCCGTACCGAAAGTACCGATGTGGAGTGTTTCCTGTTGCACGAAGTCTTTCTAAAGCTCGTGGTCGGTTGAGGAGTTCGGGTGCTAGGCATGTCGAAAAGTCTCAAATTGGGCGCTGAAGCTTTTACCAATGCGCTGCGTAGTGCCATTTCGCAATACCATTCGAAGCCTCCTTGTATCGGAAGACAACTCAACATGCTGAAGACCACGTGTATGAATCTGCGACCATGCCAGGGTGTGATAGCGAACCAGCTTAACGCAGTGCTGAATCATTAACATAATGTCAAACATTGTAACACGGTGTTGAACCATTGAATCATCATCATTATGTCGTATCTGGCAGTTGCTGCCAAGAGGCTGCATCAAGGCCCAGCATAATGACGTTGACCTGTGCTACCAATGCTGAAGCTGCAACTCATCGGCTGAAAACAAGTGCGTCTGATTAATTAGGGTGAAGCCACAAGTACACCTACATGCTCGGAACTCCAATACTTATGAAACAAGCAATAGCAGTGAGCGAAACTAGCGACATGCCACTAACAACAGCAGCTGTCAAGAACATGGCCATAGTGCACTTGCACTAGCAATATTTTTGGTCGTGCTGACCGTGGTAGAAGTAATCGCAGTCGTCGTACTAGTAGTAGGTCGTGGTGATGATGGCAGCAGTAGCAGTAGCCGTAGCGATAGCAGCAGCAGTAGCAGTAGCAGTAGCAGCAGCAGCAGAGGTAGACGTAGTAGCAGGAGTAGCAGCAGGAGCAATACTAGCAGTAGCAGTAGCAAGCAGTAGCAGGAGAAACAGTAGCAGCAGCAGTAGCAGGAGAAGCAGTAGCAGGAGAAGCAGTAGCAGGAGAAGCAGCAGCCGGAGCAGGAGCAGAAGCAGCAGTAGCAGAAGCAGCAGTAGCAGAGGAGGAGGAGACGCAGCACTGTAGTAGTAGAATCAGCAGCAGCAGGAGGAGCAGTACGAGTAGTCGCACAGCTGCACAGCTGTAACCAGGACAATACAAAATGATGAGAATTCTGCCAAACTGAATAGCTCTGGATGAACATGCTTGCAACATCGTTCGAAGAAACGTCACAACAGTTCGTGCTGTGCGCATGACAAGCTGCACGCCACCCTGCTAGCTGTTATCGAATGCTATGACTAGCGGGTATGACGGCGTTGCACACTCGTTGATCGCCTGAGCTTGAGCGAATACAAGTGTAACGGAGCTGCAAGTAGGGAACGTTTTTCCACAAAGGGCCTCGTCCCGACAGCTATCTTAAACCGGCCAATTACTCCGAAGCCTCTCTCCATCTTGCGTGAAGGCGCCCCACCCAACTAGCCATTGAAGCCCAAGTCTAAGCCAACAACCACAACGCAAAACCCAATGTCCACAAAACGGTGAAACACAAACCAAGACCTTCCCAACACAAACAAGAGGCCTCCTTGGGCCCATAAAGCATCTGCCACAATCTTCCCAAGGAGAGACCCATCTTCTGGCATCGCATCGGACAGTTGAGGATTTGGGGTTGCGGGTTTAAGGTTTACACAGTACTTCGATCCGGAGCAATACGCATGCACTGGAAAGCGGCAGCGCTCTTCTTTTTTTAGGAGGTAACGGTGACCAGGGAGAGTGTGGGATCATCAGCCGAAGGCAACCTAGCTTCTGGCCGTCTGCTTCAAGTGCAGGGCTGCCTAGCCTTCTACATACTTGGCACATATCCGTCCAGTCGTTGAGGTCTGCCGGAAACAAACCCGATCCCCACACATCTAGGATGCGAAGAAACATTTGAGACTGCTGAAGTCCATTTGCTGTACATCCTGATCCTCGGTTTCCGGAAGGCCCAACAACAAAGCGTCGCTATTCCTGTGGTACATCAGGTACAGCGATCAGAGAGGCAACGAGACAAGACTCGCAAAGTCCAAAGCGCAAAGCTTGATCGATAAAGACTTTCTGAAGCCGGACAGACCACTGCATCCCGAAATGCGTGCAAAACGGACTATCGACAACAGGACCCACAGAACCGCAGTCCAGGAACCCTGCCACCTCGGGTTGTTTCGGCACCCTGCCCTATGGCTGGCCTGCTGACTACTGTGATGAGAGCCCCGCGGCTTCGGCATGTTGACGCAAGCCGCTTGGTGACCACATCAATCAATCGGACTGGACCCGGGCTTCCAGGAGGTATACGCCTGAGCCATGCCTGCTGACTTATGGCGACCGGTCCCGGCAACTCTATCCACAAAGCTCACCAAGGCCGTGATCGAAACATGGTGAAAATCAAAAGCTGAGCCATCAGCTGGCAGAACAACGGGTCCGCAAGGACGTCCACAGTGTGCTGGCGAGTACTTGGAGGCTTTAGACAAACGACTGCACGGTTGAATCGTCACTGACACCGACAAATGACTCAGCCACATTCAGCTACAAGAATGATTAGAAAGCCAGCGCAGCACGAAGAACAGAATGTGCATGCCCGGTAGTACTTGAACCTGAAACTGATCAAAAGAACAAGAGGATGGCGAACTGGCGACGATGCTGCAGTTCTTTCTGATCTGAAATGATCTGAATGAGCTAACACACAAGGTACCAAACCCTGAGCCTTCGAGCCTCGCACCAGGCGTGCAAAGTACCGACTCCACCCACCTACACATGACCCCCAGCCCGCGCCCTCCACACGCCCGTGGTTCGCTGCGAGCTGTTGTCCTGCCACATCGGGGTTTCCGACTATATAAGGCTGCATGTGGGGATTTATGGCTACGATTTTGAAGTCCGTCTTTGGTAATACATTCAGTATCAGAACTAGTGACATCGGCCTCGAAACACGATTGCTAATTCAGAAGCGGTTAACACTTGGGGCGATCCTCGTTGGCGAAGACGGCTGCGTAGCCCAGCTTGAAGCCACAAGCGTACGGCACGGGTTGGGTCACAGAGTCCTTCAAGGTAGTGGTCATCGTCTTCAGTCACAATCAGCCTTACCAGACAACACAATCACCCAATCAGCCTTATCGCTCCTCTTCTCATCACCACCCAAATCACCATCAGGAAAATTAAATAGGGTGCGTATCCGATGACGTCGTGACAGTGATGGCGACGATGGTTCCAGCTAGTGCAGCGGAGATGACTATAAATCTATGGACAGCTTATCTCATGAAACTTCATGACCTCCACGTGTTTGCTGATGTGCCTCGCATCGGGCCTTTATTCCCCATTGTCTGGCGAACCGTCTTTCTCGAATTTCTGCATGCCTTGTCTCTTGCATGATCTGAAATTAACGGAGATGTCCATGTGAAAGCTGAAGGGTTGAGCAGCGGAGGCTCAGAAGTCTCCCTTCACTCCTGTAGGATATCGAGGAACACACCAGAATGCGAAGCAGTTCCTTGCGCATCCTTTGTCCAAAGGGTTTGCTTCGGCCGAGTAGACGAAGAGTCCGTTGTCCAGAAGGTCATTGTACTCGTCCGAGTCTGACAGGCTCTCCACTGGAACATTGTTGCCCTTGGAAGTGTTGTGCGCCACATAGTGAATGTTCTGCTTCCACTCGTGGGCTGTCTCGTTCCTCGAAATGAGCCCCACGTGGATCTTGAAGATTTGCCCTTCTAGATACAGCAAAATCAACGAATAAATCCAATGCAGTGCAAGGATGACATCCCTGACAATCTGGCACCCGGTCCGCTTGTATGCAAAGGCCGCCAGGCAAGGATCAATGACAACCCCTAGCACTGCAATCAGTGTCAAGCCAATCAGCATCGCCATGAACTCTCGGTGATTCATCAAGCCAACAACGTTCTGAAGCCACCTGCAATAGTGATCGTAGCGTCGAATGGGCTTCGGGTAGAGCCAAGACTTGTGGGTACGCTTGGGCAGCTCGGCCCCCTGGTCTTTGATGTCTTCAGGGGTGATTTGGCCGGGGTCCACCCTGGCCACCCACAGCATGCACAGCAAGGTCGGACCGAAGATCATCGCCTCGATCGTGAGGAAGATAGTGCAGTTCCACCCGGTCAGCTCTGTCAACATGGGGATGTGCACCATGGACACGGTTACAGCACCCAGAAGCGTCGAGAGACTGAGTGCCGCCGGCAAAACAGGCTTCCAACACTCAGAACTGGCATCAGGACCTTTGCTGTCTTCCCCGAACTTGTTCTCGTCGCAAGCTTCTTCTGGGTCGTGACATGCTTCTTTGTCCGCTGCCCTCTTGCCACCTGGGCCAGGCACTAAAGGCGCTTTGGTCGGCATCTGCTGCACCACTGGCGCCTGGATTGCCAAGGAGCTGTGCACAGGCTTGTAGTGCTGCACCACATAGGGACCGTACGCATCACCACGAACGCGCCCCTGAAGCAGCATGGCGTCGGACGCGATGGACACAAAGGAAGCCGAGAAGCTTGATGAACAGAACCTGGAGACATGTTGTGCACAAGGCATGACCTTTGGCATCTTCACAGAGGTGGTGCAGTGGCAGTGGCAGCAGTAGCGGCCGCAGGAGGAGTAGAAGTAGTAGGAGTAGTAGGAGCATCCGCATCAGATCATCTTCATCTTTTTCTTCGTCACTGTCATCATCATGGTTCTCATCATCATCATCATCGTCATCATCAGCAGCAGCAGCAACAGACGCAGCATCAAGGAGACCATAATCAGGCCAATCATCAAGATGCTCAATGCGATTTGCTACTGGCCACTATGTTAAGATCATTCCAGGCTCCGTTAACTTTATGGCCCAGTCATGGGTGCGCCGAAGGCCTCATGTATCTCCCCCGAACACTATATTCTTTCGCACACCCTTTGCTCCGAAGGCGCGAAGCACGCGACACAGAACTTTAGCAGAAAAGGCAAACTTGAACTCGAAGCTTGAAAAATCAAAGCCTTAAACCTTCGCCCCATTCTTGTGACGGTTGGATTGGTGTAGATGCTATTGCTATTGACATCACCTGCAACATTTTGCTACTCTAATGTACTTTTGCTTGTATATTCCACTTGTTTAATCACACCTACTCACGTTGTTCTGTCTCCCTCTCTCCATCTCGGTCCCTGACCCTCTCTCCCCCTCCCTCTCGCAGTTCTTCCCGCTTTTTATAAGCGTGCATGGACACCTGGCGCGTCCACATGAAACCTCAACCCTCTGTCATACTCTGAAAATCGGGGCTTGAAATAATTTCGAAAGTTTCTGGTTTAGCGTTTCGGATTCAGGGTGTGCCTCAAAACGGATGTGGAAGTTCGCGATGTTGACCTGAAAACAGAACGTCGGGCTATCTTACCCACCGGGAGCTCCAAACCCTGGAAATGTCTTGGAATGCTGAGGTGCGCAAGCAGAAACAGAAAGCCTGCGAAGTCGTCATAGATTAAAACTCGCTGACAGGAGCTCGGCGAATCTGGTAAGCTGGCCATGACAACTACTGACTGAATCCCTCTTACAGTTGATGTTGAATCCCTGCTGCCATCCTGCAGGCTTCTACTGGGTTGGGCCTTCCGGAAAGCTCTGCTTTAAAGGCTTTCGACAGGCTACAGTGCTCCAGCACTTTCAATGCTTCTGGGGCTTCGAGCCAGAATCTACCCCGGGAGCTTTGTGAATATTGGATGAATGCCGGGTCTTGTTGCCCTGCGAGAAAGAGTTCCGGACCACCTTGACAACTCGACGATTTCGGGTGTTTTTCCACTCCGGACTTAGGTGTTGAGGATCCAAGATGTATGATACCCGGCCTCAATCATCTCAGCCACCTTCTTCATCAGGTCCTCCCGGCCAGAAGGTGCTTGAGCCCCTGACTTGGAGACCCATGTGCCACACAAACCCAAGAGGCACCTGAAGCAAAGCGAGGCCTTCGGATACGTCCGTTTCACTAACCCGCATCCTGCTTGATCCTCGTCTGGATGTCACTCAACCATCCCGTCGCGGAGTCCTGGCGCCAGTGTGCAGCCGTCACCCTAGCAGCAACTTCGCCTCGAAGTTCTCCAGCTCGCTGTGTGGATATACATTTACATGTATATAGGTGTACAATTTTACACCGAAATGTTCTGATTGTGGGACACCTTTCAGTGGTTCCTGTTCTGATTCAGTCTGAGGGTCAAGTAAGCACCACTGTGAATTTGGGGGTTTGGGGTTTCCGGGATGAGCTATACGGGTGTCCAGAATCTCCCTCAACCTGGGAGGGTTGGCCTTTATTGCTGTTGTTGTCGGAACCGACATGATTGGAATCTGCATTATGGTTATCTATCGGGACGTCGGTCTCCGTTGCGACCTTGAAACCTTTGGGTTTTGGGTTTAGGGTTGAGGGGCTGCAAAATCTGCGCGGGGTTGGGCTCGGGCTTTCCGGCGAAAGGATCACATACACACGTTCCATCAGTGTGAACCCTGCAGCTGTGATCAACAGACAGACACACACACACAGACAAATCACAGATGTGTATGTGTATAGACATATACCCACATACACACACATACACATACACATACGCATACGCATACGCATACACATACACATACACATGCACATGCGTATGCATATGCATATACATATACATATACATATACATGTCTCGTGCACCGTCTGCATGCATGCATATACGCATATGCATATATATATATATATATATATATATATATATATATATACACACATATATATTTACTTATTCTAGACAACACTTTCCTACATGCACAGAAACATAAACATGCGCATACGCAAACATATGCATAAACGCTGTATATGCATGTACATGTACATGTGCACGTGTATATATATATATATGTACATACAAGATGTATACATATACAGATACGATATACCATCATACACCATATACTCGTATACATATACATATACATCCTAAACCGCCTTGGAGACCTGAAACACTCCAGAAACTCCTTCAACCCAGGAGGCAAAGCCCGAAACCGTGAACCCCAGGCCCGGCCCTTGAAACCTGAACCCCGGCTGCCTCGCCGGACTTCTTGGCCTTCTGGGACGGCTTCAGCTCCTTGGGTTCGAAAGTCTGTACAAAGGTTTGGGGCTCTGACTTGCTTCTTTGATTGCTTCTTGGCTTTCACTGAAAGGCACAGGAGCCGCATGGGAGAGGCAACAGCCGACAACAGAAGGACCTGTTCGGTGAAATGAAGCTCAACTCTTGCGCTGTGCCGAAGCCGGTTGAGCCCCGAAGCTCGGGACCAGAAGGCCGGTGACACCATGCTGATCAGCCAAGGCACAGCGATCTTCATGATGAGGTCGACGAGCTTGGACTTGCACTGCGCCAAGAGCAAACTCAATCGAGGACTGAACTGGTCATAAGCATCCTCGCTGTAGCCATGTACGAAGTATACAACTCGAAGGCCCTTGGCAGGCATCGAAATCTATGCGTGCATGCACACTCTGGCCGCCATTTAGAACACGCTGACGGGACAGATCAAGAAGTTGCATGATGTCAAAATTACGAGTACTGTCTGAATCACGACCCAGCCCCTCTACAATCCGCGACCTAAAGTAGGCAAACAAAATCCAAGCTCCAACAACTCACCTTTGTAAACGGTTGTGTGCATGGGGCACGTAGACATCCACTGTAATTCTACCAGACATACGGACATGCCGCCGGACAACACGCGCAACTGCCTTCCTCACATCCTTCCTCCCTGCCTGCTTGACGTGTGCCCAACTCCAATCCGTCGTATGGGGTCCGAAGACGAAGAAAACGTTTCGGATCAGGATCTGCAGGGAGACCTTGGGCAGCTCATAGCTCAGGCTCGGAGATGCAGCGCAGGGTCATCGTGAGTTGCGCGAACGAGTGAGAAACCTACGAGCCCCACACCGTGAGTTCCCGTGCCGCACCGACCACCCCCGGACCTTTTCAAACGAAACCATCTGGGAGTATGTTCTGGGGAAATACAAAGTCCTACAGATCACCCCTGCATGTTGTTTCTGCACTTGTCTTGTGAGTATGATGTCACACGGACAGCCTCACACAACTGCTAGGCCTTCAAAGCCATTTCGTTACTATGCCCCGCTGCTTTGTCGCATGTCTGCTCTCACGTTTCCAACAAGGTGTGAAAATGTGTAGTGTTGACTGTTGATCCTCGCATGCAGATTCGAAGAGATCGTGAAAGTGCAAAGCTTCTTTCACAACGGCGTACATGAAGCAGCAACGAAGCTGCCGCCACAAATGTCGGCAGCTTGTTGCCAGCAAACCCCTCGTAATAAAAACAGATTGCTGTTGAAGTGAATCCGTTTCCTCATGTGGCATTGACAGCAGCCGTTCACAAAATCCTTCTGCCTAAAGGTTTCATTCTCAAACGCACATTATAATTATGCAAGCATTTATATTCGGCTCCGGGATCTTTGGCGTGGTTTAGTATCAAGTCCTGACATGAGCGAAAACCGAGAAGACCGGGCCCCGTGCAGATCCCCCCGGGTTGAAGACGTCCAGATGCAAGTTCACGGACCTTCGGGGCACTTCTGATTGATTTCAGGCTTGCGGTGCCAGGGACACAAACGCTTTGATGGAGTCTCGCAGCTTTGTTTTCGGAGCAATGTCTGGGAATTTACGGTTATTGGGCTCTGCCGGGGTTGTGGCATAAATGCATAGGCCTTCACGGCGTTGGTGCTCTGGTTCCTGATGTTCCTGTTGCTATTTTTCTAGGTACGGTCGGCGTTTTGCTGCTGCTGCTTCTGCTGGTGCTGTGGCTGTGGCTGTGGCCGTAGCTCTGACACTGGCCGTCGCTGTTGCTCTAGATTTTGGCGTTGCTGCTGCTGCTGCCGTTGCCGCTGCCGGTGCCGGTGCCGGTTCGCGGCAGCGGTGTCAGCATCGGCGGCTGCTGCTCCTGCTAGTGCGGTTGTTGTGGCTGTTGTTGTAGTAGCTGTTGCAGCTGTTGATGATATCTGTAGACAACTGCAAACAGCTTGAATAGTCGTAAATGGTCCCACACCCACACGTGCACACACACACACACACACACACACATCGACACATCCACACACCCACACCCACAGACCCACAGACCCACAGACCCACAAAACCCAAGACCCACAAACCCACAAACCCTCAGACCGAGACCGAGACACAGACGGAGACAGAGACAAAGCCAGCCAGCTAGCTAGGCAGACAGACGGACAAACACAAAAGCAAAACACACCCACCACACTCATGCACGAAACGAGTATCAAATAGTCACTCTAAGGTCTTCAATCACGAACGAGGAGTGTCAAATCCACTTTCCGAATGTAACGGCTCTCCTTGAAAAGGTTCAAGGAGACCTCCCGATTCTATGAACCTTCGGACGAAAGCTGCAGAGCAATAGAAACGATCGCAAGACTCTGAGATGTCTACAGCGACCACGATGGCAATAAGTATGCTCGAAGAACCAGAACCTGAATATCACCCCTTTCAGTGGTCATCAGAAGGCATGATCTGGGCCCACTGGCAGTTCGTCGATAAATCCACCGCGCAATGCTACGGGAAGGTGCAGTCCGTCGAAGGCCTTGCTCTGATTCTCTTCAGCTGCTACATCGTAGAGTTGAAATACCGTGATCGGAAGCCTGGAAAGCGTAGGGTTTGGGAAAGGTAACCACCTTCGGCGACGGGGTTCAGACTATAGGGCTTCGGGTTTTGAGTCCTGGCTTAAAGGTTACCGGCTATCGCCCGGTGAGAACTTTGATGGCGTTGGTGTGAAGGCATGGGTCAACTTGTGAGCCTGAGAGTGAGGGCCCGAAGTCTCGTCCAACAAGACCCCGCCGTCCATGGGACAGGGTTCAATTTAAGGTTTGCATGTAGCCGCTCCAAGATCTGATCCCTGCATAATTTTGGGACGTGGGTGCGCCGCAGTGCTTACTCAAAAGGTCCTCCGAAGCAGGCAGTTCCCCGTCAGTTGTCGTCCTAGCATAGTGCGACTCCGCAAGCAGAGCCGCTTCAAGCCTTGGGGTTTGAACACCTTGAGAACATCTTGAGGCTTAGAAGGCAGATGACCTTTAGAGAATCGGACCGCTCGGCCAGTAGAGAAAAGGACCCGCAGTAACCACAAAACTCTACATCCCAAAACATGTGCCCAAGATCAAACCGAGGAACGGAGCCATCGATAGATGCCTGCGAAGACTCGGTACTTTGGAATTGGTCACACCCAATTGACAAAACAGGTTGGATTCAACATCAGCATGAACAAAAGTAGGAAAAGGTCATACTCAGATCATCTGGGCCTTGGATAATTTAGGTGGCTCTGGGCTGTTGCTTGTGTCTCGCTACACGTAACTTGAGCAAAACTTGGATTCTGCCATAGGTTCGAAGAGCCGCCAGATTGGGGCACAACAGATTCAGACCCGGTTTAGGCTAGATTCATGCCGAGAAAGGAGCACTACAATGATTCTCCATGGCCGAGGCTTTCGATACTCACTGCTGTTCGCAAGCAGTGACAAACAACGAAAGCACACTTGCAAACACACGTACATACAAGCATACTTACGTGCTTACATAATTCCTTACATACTTACATACTGACACAATTACATTCTTACATACCTATGTACATGCGTACATATACGAATATATGTATACCTGTACATACATACGTACATACATACCTACGTACGCACCTACGTACATACATACGTACATATATATATATATATATATAAGGAGAGAGGTAGAGGGAAGTGCTGTTGCCTGTCTACACTCGCATAGAGGCACGGTGCAACTAGTCACAGGTCGTGCACCAGTCTTGACTGTTATGTACACTGGTGAGGTCCTTCAACACGCAGAAGCCGGGAAGGTCACATGGCTTCGAGCAAATTTCAACACTTCAGTCAACTGTGCGGCATCTATGCTGAAAGAACCAACAACATATATAAACATGTATACATGCATGCAGAGACAGATGCATTGACAGGCGGTGAGTAGATCGAAAAAGAACAAAAGAGAGGGAGAGCCGGGGAGAGAGAGACAGAGAGAGAGATAGAGATAGAGATAGAGATAGAGGTAGAGATAGAGATAGAGATAGAGATAGAGATAGAGATAGAGATAGAGATGAGGATGGCTGGGCTGTCTTTTAGTTTACACTCGCTGCACATGTGAACCCAACCCTGAATCCCTTAGGGACCCTGAACTTTCCTGGTAGCGTAGCTTTCATACAGCTTTCTTAGTACCCCTCTTTCGGATTGCACGCCTTATCCCCTCAACGACGAAGCAATAACGTCGCATGAAATGGCCCGTGCTGCCTATCTTTCAATCTCAGCTAAATCTCTTTCCCATTGTGCAGAGAACTTCATGCCCAGGCATCTGGAAGCGCCGGGCGCCGGGGCGGCTTGTTCGTCTGTTTCGTTCTTGCAGCTCTGCAACTGAGCCCTGAACTTCTCAACTCAATTCTCCTCGGATTTCAGATCGCCGGCTCAGCCTACGTCCTAAAGACTACTCCTTGAAGCCTCACTCGCCTACCCCAACAATCCTGCAGGTCTGCATACTTAAATCGTGGCAGCTTCCTGCCGAAGCCTTCATAAGCGTTCGGCGACAGATGATACCTTCCTGCAACCAGGTGGGCGGGGAGGGGAAGGGAAGGCGCCTTCTTGAGCTGAAACTGTCCAGAAGAAGGATCGATCCGGAGATTTCCTTGGTCGACCTGGTGCACAGGGACATCATAACATCATCGCAACTCGTAACATCAACGCCGGTCACAGCACAACAACTGTACGCGTAAATACTCATCTTTGTACTCTTGAGATTGTCGCGACTCGGCTCTTTCGCAAAACCCGTTTGGCTGGTAATTCTGCATCTTATGAATGCCGCCCGTAACAATACTTGTGGGTTCTCTCGTCGTCGTCGATGCGGCAGTCGTAGCAGCAGTAGCAGTAGCAGTAGCAGTAGCAGTAGCAGTAGCAGTAGCAGTAGCAGTAGCAGTAGCAGTAGCAGTAGCAGTAGCAGTAGCAGTAGCAGTAGCAGTAGCAGTAGCAGTAGCAGTAGCAGTAGCAGTAGCAGTAGGAGTAGGAGTAGGAGTAGGAGCAGGAGTAGGAGTAGGAGTAGGAGTAGGAGTAGGAGTAGGAGTAGGAGTAGGAGTAGGAGTAGGAGTAGGAGTAGGGGTAGGAGTAGGAGTAGGAGTAGGAGTAGGAGTAGGAGTAGGAGTAGGAGTAGGAGTAGGAGTAGGAGTAGGAGTAGGAGTAGGAGTAGGAGTAGGAGTAGGAGTAGGAGTAGTAGTAGTAGTAGTAGTAGTAGGAGGAGGAGCAGCAGCAGCGGCAGCAGCAGCAGCAACAGCAATAGCAGCAGCAGTAGCAGCCGCAGCAGCACCAGAAGCAGCAGCAGCAGTGGCAGTGGCAGCGGCAGTGGTCGTGGCCGTGGCCGTGGCCATAGCAGTAGCCGTAGGAGTAGCCGTAGCGG